CACCTATTCTCACTATGACCCTTCACTTTAACTAACTCTAGTTGAATATTCTTAATTCTAATTATATTGACTATACTTTTTGTATTCTAATAAAAAAAATTCCTTGTAAAATTTTGGTTTAAACTATGCCCTTCAGGCCTTAGCTCTAACCCTAATATTAATCTAATTTTAATTTTTTTTAATTTTTTGTTTATTTATTTTGATAATGATTTTTGTGTTATACAAAGTGTGGTGTTGAATACCACTGGTGTGATTTAGTAAAACCATTTAATATTATACTGATGTTTTTATTTTTTTTATAGATTCATCAAGTTCTACAACCAATTTTGATTTTGTTTTTTGATCATAGGTAGTTTTTTATTATAATTTTCTAATTGGTTTTGAACTGATAATTTTTGCAAAGCTACTATTGTTATGAGATAAATATTATTACTCTTGTCTTTTTTTAAATTATTTCTATCTAATTTTTATTAACTATTAACTTTCTTTACAGGGTCTTGTAGATTTTTTAGATTATTATTAATATATGATTTCTGAAAACAATCAGGTTAGTTAAGATATTTATACTGTTTTTAAACTCTTTTTTATTATTATTATCATGTTCTAATTTTATTTTATTAATATTAATCTTCTCTGTTATAAATTTGCTTATAACTTCAAATTTAGTGATTGTTTCTTTATCAGAGAACTCTATTATGATTAATTTTTCAAACAAGATATTCATAATATGATTAGTATTTATTTTTTATATTATTATTATCTTTTTCATATCTAGAATTATATTAACAATTTTATCTATTTCTTTTAGATATTTTAATTCTGATTTTATTATTTTAAGAAGATCATCTAGCTGCTTAATTATAAGACTTAAATAGCCAGGTATAGGTAAATTATTATAGTTAATCATTTTAGTTGGTTTTTCTTTTAAGTCCTTATTGTAGTTTTGTTTTTTATTACTACATTATTAACTATATCATTATCCTTTATAAAACCTTAAAAATTTTAATATTATTCTCAAAAATACCTATTTCTAAGTTGGTAATAATAAATAAATTCTTGTTCATTATAATTCTCTATCTTTATACTAATATTGCTTTTAACTTTTTTAGATATTCTTTCTATAAAATATTAGGGTAAGATCATACTTAGAACAATTATAAAGATATTAATGCTATAAATATATAGACAATATAATATGATACTTCTAAGATATATATTTTATAATAAGTGTCTCTTCAGTTATTTTATATGTTTAATAAATTTTAAGCTAATAATTTCTTTTTAATTATAGATTTAGATATAATTGCTCAAAGAAGTCATAGAATAATTTTTGCAATCTCTTTTATTTACTATATATTATCATATAAATTACTAGTTATTTACTATTAGTTTTATAATTAACACAACAGGTTTTGCTAATATATGGTTCTTGCAAAATATACCTGCTATTTATTAATCAATGCTAATAACAAAGTAATATAATTATTTACTTTTATTATTTATTTCAATATACTATATGCTTTAATAAATATAAGTACAAATATTCTATATTAATATTACAAAGCAATAACTTTTAATTTTATACTATATATCAGTTAAATCTATATCTTACAGATATTATTCAATAAATACATAATTATAGTTAATCTATCTTATGTTAAATCTGAATCTCTTAGATTATTTTAAAATCTTAAACAATCATTATATATTAGTATTCAGAGATGTCTTCTACTAACAAAGTAATTTAATAGCACAGTTATAAAATATTTAATGCATATAGCAAATAATACTTCACTGTAGTCTAAGTCTTTTTAGTTCATAAACCAAATATTACACAGATTAATCTGTATTTTTACAGATTTTCTTTAAAAAATTCTTATCTTGATTAAATATATAAGGTTGAGCTAATGTTTGACAAAATCAAGCAAAAACTTGATAGTCAAATACTTGTGATTAAGTTAGACATTAAAGAATCATAGATCATGTTAATTAAATGTATATACATATATCGATATCGAATATAATAATAGTGATTATTATGTATTATAGACATGTATATATATATATATGTATAACTGATTTTATCCATGATTATTTGATATCCAACCTAATCACAAGTATTTGACTATCAAGTTTTTGTTTGATTTTGTTGAGTACTAGGTTGAGCTGAATTTTACAGTCACCACCAAATATTACATCTAAAAACTACCTCTTATAAGTTTGGTATAACAATTCTACTTTAGTAATAGATATGTTAGACAAGTGATAACAATGCCGTGTTTATGCTTAAGTAAAATATATGGTTTATAGCAGTTATGCTTTAAGAGGATTATGTGATTTGCAGTTATGAAAGAGGCAAATGACTAAATATATATGAAGATACAAGTAGTTATAACAATATGAGTTTACTCTTTATTACTTGTTATGCGAGAAAACTACTGATTCGGAGAAAAATAACAGGACTATTTATACATGTTCTTGGACTAGATAATATTATATCTATCGAATATACTAGACCTATTCTTTGGAATAATTGATATGCAAGCGAATATAACTAATACATATGAAGAACTAATAACAGTGAGGTAAATAATAGAACGGTTGGAACTAGTAAGAACTAGTAGAAATAGTAGAAATAGTAGAATTGGTAGAATTCTTGGCGCTTGTAATACATCACGAATTACGTATGGCATTATTCACGTGATATTAAAGACGGTCGTGATTAACAAGTTTTGGGTCTAACAGTATGAACATACTTCTAAATCGTGAACTCACCAACTATCTAATTATCGAAATTATTAACCCACTTATTACTTAAATCATGAACCCACGCACTATTAAAATAATGAGCCCACTAAATTATACACTGGTGAAATCACTAACTTACCCATGAACCCTCCTATTTTCGAAGTCTCCTTAAACTAATTACATATGAATTATAGAAATGATGAGTCTACTTATTATAAAATCATGAATTACGAACTACCCGCCCATTAAAATCATGCATCCATTCATTTATTGAGAATCCGAACTATCCAGGTAGGTTAGTTATGGCAGAGTAGGGTTCCGCATGGGCTGGACTATCCATGGAGCATCCATGGACTGGTCCAATATGGGCCGGGCTTAGTCCAAAATTTTTGACCATATAGTCCATAGTTAATCTGATTGGCCAAAATTATAGATGTCATCATCGTTTTCCTGATCATATGATGTCAAAATAAAACTAAGTTTGTGCTATTTGGATCCATGGATTGTACTTAGGAAACATTTTTCACCGTTTTAAAACATGTGATGCTGTGGTCAGAATATATTAAATTTTAAAACTCAGCATATCAAGATTATAAACATCACATGTTTTAAAACGGTGAAAAATGTTTTTTTACCATCCCTAATTGTACTATGTGGTCATGGGCAGGGCTTGAATCTATCCAATTAAGATGGGCTGGATCTGGATTTTGAAATATCCGGCCCAGCCCGGCCATGCGGAACCCTATTGCAGAGAAATATCACAGTATTATGATCGTTCGACCGTTTTCAACCCGCCTGAAAAAAGTCAAATAAGGTGTAATAGTAATAAAGCAACGTAACGGTAAATGCCTTGATTTTCGAACTATGTTCAAGAATTGGAATGATTGGTGATTACGAAATCATGACATTTTTTTGCCACTACTAATCTAATTGAACAATCTTTTGTCTAGTGATGGGCGATTACTCACTAATGAGATTAAATTAATAGCAATTATGAAAATAGATAACAAATTTAATCAATTTATATTTGCATCAGTAATAAACGATTAAGTGGACATAGTAATGCAAACAAATCACTTCGCACGAACTAATTTATTTAAATTATGAAAAAAAAGGATAATAATCTTATGCTCGTTAATTGTCTTTTGAGTTATTGATTACCGTGCAAAATTTCTTTTTGCACATGCGTATGATTATCTGGTAATTAGGATTATATAAATTTTTCAATTACATATTATAAGTCTTAAATTTTAAGCTATAATTAGCGTTATATAATTTTTTAATACGTACGAAATTTTAGGTGAGATAATTATAATAAAAAAGCTAAATAACTGATAAGACAAATATATTACACGCTAACTTAGTAATGATAAACCTATATAAATATAAATACGACTCTGGATATAACGAGCCTTCCTATAACGAACTTAAAATTTTGAAATTTAATAATAGTTCGGTATAAAAAGTTGCATGGGTTCTTAAGAAAACATAAGAATTTCCTTATAACGAACTTTTTTTTCTTCCAAAATCTTCAGTTCGTTATAAAAAGAGTTAACTGTATATTATTTTTTATATACGAAATTTTAGGTGAAATAATTATAATAAAAAAGTTAAATAACTGATAGACAAAAAATATTACACGCTAACTTAGTAATGATTTAAGAAAATCTTGCTAAAAGTTGACTTGGCCCAAGTCAAAAAAAAAAAAAATTAAAATTGGATATAGCCTAATCTAGCTAACTGTCAATAATTGTTTTTTATGTCGAGTGATAACATTAAATACTGAAAGTAAAAAAGCTCCCTGTGAGTTGAAATTTAGGTAGTATGTTTTCTACTTTCCATTTTAAGTTTATTAGCTTGTTCAATCATCCGTTTTCCAATGATAGGTTCTGCTTTTTGATAATATTGTCCCTTCTGCACAATTTTTCCCAATTTTTCCAACGCAAAAAGATTGTTCTGCCTCGCTGATTTTCTCAAATATTCCATCGCGGTCTTGTACCTATCACCCTCAAATGGAACGGGTGTATTTAACAAAGTTAACGCATACCAATATTGGGCTTCCGGATGTTGTAATTCAGATGCTTTTTGGAGGTACTCAATGCCTTTTTTTTCATCACTTTTTACACCAAAACCTTTAACGTAATAAAATCCGATCCAGAAATTTGCATTTGGATCATTTTGTTTTGAATCATAACAATTTTGAAATATATCCAATGCATCTTTATACTTCTTATGTTTATGGAAATCAATACCTCTTTCTATGTCTTTATATGGGGTTGAATATTGACTAGATCGAATGTGGCTATTACGTCTTAAAATTCCATTATTTGATAGATCTATATGATCCGTGCTATCAAAATCGTCATTAGCATCTTTCCCAGAAGAATTTATTAATTTATTCAGATGCTCTAGGATCGATTTCATAGTATCACGTGAAGAAGGATCTTGAGACCACGATTTTTTAATAATTTTTTGGTATTCATCATCTTCTGATGTAAGTTCAGGACGGTTTCCGTCAAGTATTGTGCGTTTGATTTCTTCCTCCGAGGATAAGGTAACGAAGGGTAGTTGTTGATACTCGATCGCCCACATAACTAGAGCGAAACTTTTAACATGGATATCATTATTATCATTTTACATGAATTAAGGTGTTTTAAATTCAATCAAAAGTTATAAAATTACCTGTATACTTCGCTAGCTTTAGTGTATGCTTCACCGCGAATTCTTTCTGGTGAATTCCACCTAAAATAAATAAATAAATAAAGTTAATAGACAAGAATAAGAAGTATGTGTATTTTCGAATAAAGATAAAAAAAATTACGTTAACATATCAATCGGTATAGATGATGTTGACTTCGAAGATTCTTTAGGAATTTGGAAATTATACAGTTTAGGATATAAATATTTATCCAGCAATATATTAGAACTAATTATAAATTTAAAAGATTTAGTAAGAACAAACATTATGATATGCAATCAACATTTAATTACGTATATACTAACGTTCTGATATCACCATGTAAAATTTTTTTTTCATGACAGAAATCCAATGCATTGGCAATTCCGCGCGCAATTAATAATTTGTTATCTGACGTTAAATTAGAATCTTCAGGTTTATCAATAAGGTAAGATTGCAAGTTATATTCAACCCAATGTGTAATTACGGAGATGCCATTGGATCGATGACAGTACCCGTAGCTTTGAAGGAAAAAAAAAAGATTTTTTTATAATTATTTCAAAATAAAGGTAATGTAATAAATTTAAATTTAAACATACAATTTAAGAATATTTGGACATTCAAGTTCTTGCATATATTTAATTTCTTTTTTCAATTCGTCATTATCACAATTCTCAACAATCTTTTCAGCAACTCTGGTATATTTTCGATAAATTCGTTGAGATATATGCTTTTTACTTCCTATAACTATCTCACCCTCCGAAAGATCATTTTCATTGATCTTAAATTTATTATCAAATCGTCTTCTTGGAATCGAAAGAAATTTGACAAAGGAAAAAGTTTTACTTCTAATTAGATTCCAACCACCTTGTTTAGATTTCCAATTCTTGATTGCTACCCTCAATTTATTAATTGCATCGTTTATTTCATCTATTAGGTGATCGATTCTTTCATGAATCTATTTATTAAATGATTTTGTCAAAAAATTATAAGTGACATTCATAAAAAAAGGCATATCGATGACCAATAGAAAAAGGGAGATATATTCTTAGATTCTGAATTGTTTATCACAACACAGATCGATGTAATTTGAACACAAATTGAGTTCGGCTAAAAACAACACTTTTTCTATTGAACATGGCCATATATCAAAATTAGCATCATATAAATATTACGCACCTCAAGCGTACGCGTACTGTCAATTAAAAGATTGATATTCCAAAGACGATCTACAAAATATTGAAAATCAGGGGACTCTTCAATAAAATTTTGAAATCGAAGATTTATTTTATTCTCATCATTTTCAAGTTCGCTAGACTGGTCATTTGTTTCTTTAGAATGAGAACTTTTAGATAACAAATTTTGAATTTCTTCTAACATATCTTCACCATATTTGGTTACTTCCAATCCTTTTGCAGATAAATCTTCATGTTTTAAATCTTTGAACACTTGGTTTGCAACTTTAAGACTATTTTTTGCGATTGATAAATCTTTACATGTTGATAGCAAGTCATTACTACTATATCGTTTATTTGAAGAAGTTGAAGTAGCAATAGTTGGGAATGGAGGAGGTTTTAAATCTATGGGCGATGCTACATATGAATTACTATCTTGTGCATAAGACATTTTATATTTTTAATAGACCTGGAAAAACAAAAAGGACAATTAAGGATTTATAAATCAATTTATTATCTTAAAGATACAATTAGATTTCGAAGCAAATGTCAGAATTTCAGAATTAAATATTCATAATCACTTATTTAAGTCAAGTGAACACAAATTGAATGAGAATATGCATGCATAACCAATCCAAATTGAATAATATAAAGACTTTTTTAACATCAAAGTTATAGAAGACACCATAAGTGGTATATTCTGCGTGTAGGTGCAGAAATAGGGACTTTGCAGTAGAAAAGGCCTAAATGCTATATATAATATATAGAGCATTTAGGCCTTTTCTACTGCAAAGACCCTAAATATTTGTCAAAAATCGGGATGACTTTATTATTTTTAAGATACGGCATCGATAGTGTTAGGTTCTAAGAATAGGTAAATTAAAGAAATATTCTTGTACAACTTACCGATGGTTAAGAAAATAAAATGGTCTGCCTCGTGAAATTAATGATAAATCTCTACGTACGTAGTTTAATAACGATAAAGACCACATAATTCGCATAATTCGGTTTTCTCCACGCATAATCTGGCCACGACCGGTTTTATAATCCTGGACACTCTATAACTATCCACCAACGTGGAAAACACTGATTTAAAATTAGACTTTTCAGAATAAACAACGTGTATACTATCGTTATCCTTATTGAAACTAATAAAATTAGAAATTAGGCGTATTATATAATTAATGCAATAGTGAGGGGCCTCAGGAAGTATACAGTTACGCAAAAAATTATGCAAAATGTAATAACGCATATCATATTATTCATATATTTATGAAATTTGTTTTTTTATGTAATCGTGATATACTTTCTGAGCCCACTTTACGTATGTACGCACGTACGTACATAAGACGCAGGATGCAATTCTGCCACAGGACAACTTGGACATTGAACAAATAATATTTACTCAAAACTATATTCCCTTTGTAGCCTATTTGGAATAAGATTGAATACTGTATATATGTCGTACGTACAGTACTGGGGTGTTAAATCAACTAAGTAATCAAAACTATGTCAGGGGTATTAATAATTTTATTATGATCAGATTTTTA